AACTGACAGTGGCCTATAGAATCTCCACGCAGATAAGAAGTCTTGTCCCTTTGTACATATCATTGTTTGTCCTGCCTACCCTAGGGTACCTAAATTTCTTCCACGGTTCAAAAGACACTGACAAAACCATGTATAACTCCCATGCCCTTTTGTATAATCAGTTTTATAATTTAATTGCACACACGAGAGAAAGAGATTCGCTTTCGCCTCATCGGTTTAGCCTCTTAATTATATTCAATCCCTTTCTGGTTAATAAGCAAATGTGTTATCACTAATCATTACATGATAGTGATGATTACTTTCCCAAAGTAATTTACACTTCTCGAATTACTAATACTAACCCGCCGGCTTTTATCTTTTACATTCTCCTATGTTTATTTTTTTTATTTTTTTGTTTAGATGGTACGTTGCTTTTTACTCATTTTTGAGTATTTTAAGATTAATTTTTTATTAGGTGATCTTAATATTGTATTTTTCATGTAATTTGATGTATTTAAAATTTTAATTTTTTTAGGTGATGATTTTTAAATTTAAACCTTAAATTAGATTTACAAAAGAATATTTATATATTAGTAGGATTCAATTATTAAATTTATTTTCCCACGTTTACACTAGTATCTTACTATAATTAAAACATAAGTCTCTTGTTTTCTTTCTGATGAGAAAAAGTACATCTGAATATTTTTTCTGAAACTAATTTCTAACGTTAATTCGTATGAACAGTTATTTTCCCCTTTTAAAATACTAGAAATTTAAGCCTATGTTTCTACAAGTACTCCTAAGATCTTTTGTCATTAAACTTCTAAATTTAATATTTTTATAAAATCTTAACGATTATTTTTATTAGATTTTTTGTCTGTTGCTAATAAGGATGTGAGCTGCAATTTTTCAGTTGATTCAGGAGCAGACATTTCTGTTGTACTAGAAGAAAAAGGACATTGATGATGAAGTTTTACTGACATATGACATTGAAATTAACCAAAAGTAGAATGGTAGACCGTAGGAACGGGAGAAATGAAATGAGCAGCAACAACACTGTAAAATTCTAAGCAGGCGGTCGAGCTTTGACTTTGCATTTTCTATGCTTGATCTACCGAATTAGTTATGCAAGAGCAAAACTCCAAATCCATCTTTTAAATAAGAGAGCAGCAATAGATTTATTTTTAAAAAAAATATAGAGATGAATTATTTTTAAATTATAAATTTTTTTTTTTACCATTACTTCTTTATTTCATTTTACAGCAGAGACAGAGGAAAAAATTGTAGGGGAAATGAGTAAAAGATTCCTGTTCAAATTAAGACCAGTTTGTTTTACTCTATAATGCATTAATTGGGAAAACTAGGGAAGTGTGTGATTTACTCAATCAATCAAAAGGAAGATTGAACCTGAAGATACTATGGAACTGAGCAAAAATGAAATGATGTTGAAACAAACTATATCAAGTAGCATATTTTTTTTCTTTTATGGAAAGTTCAAAATCATGGTGGGTTTTAACTTTGTGAGTGTAAAACTCTGTGCATTCTGAAAATTTACACATCACATGGTGTTTGAAAAGAGATTCT